ATCTCAGTTGGGTGCTTGGCACATTTTGGAATCTTCGAAACCATTCTGTGCTTTTAACTATTAAAAGCAAATCATGGAGTTTAACCTTTTTGTTAACGTTGGTTTTTAGTCAAGAGGCAGCGAAAGAAGACGTCTTCAGCGGACAAAGCTGAGCAGCCTAAAAAGAGACGTAAAACAAGCAAAGAAGCTGAAACACAGGTGAGGTTCCCCTCCAGTGAACGTTGTTTCAGGGTCCAAATCCCCAAATGAATCGCTGACATTGAGCGAAGTTTGGAATGGTGTTAAATATCAGCACCAAATGGACAATAAGCACATTGTTATAAGGTCTTGATTTCCTCGCCCACCTCCTCAGGACTCTTCAGAGGGAACCGACAAAAAGCAAAGAAGGCAGAAACCCGACGGAGACTCCAAGGAACCCAAGAAGAAGAAGAAGACGACAGCGAAACTCAAAGCTCTCCTCCCCGGTAAACCACGTGGTTGGTCCATGTCGATGGGGGGCACTGGGCTTCAAAGCCCCCGTCTGAAGCCCCCACTTCATCTTCCAAACTCTTTGTCTCCACAGAGAACCAAGACGCAGAGAAGCCAGAGCGCAGTAGGAAAAGGAAGCAGGACGGGGGGAACGCGAGCGCCCCCTCCACGGCCAAGAGAAGGCGGCTCACGCCGTGTCACACACACACACGTGCGTGCACATCGTTTCGTTTTGAACGTGATAGGGACTGCTGTGTAATACTCTACATCACACTCCAAGCTCTGTCATCACAACCACTTGAATTAGAATTTTGGCGTGTGTGTGTGTATTTGTCCCTGCTGTTATTTAATCAAACTAATCAAACTTGCCGTCCGTTGCTGAAATAAAGGATACAAACTTTATCTCACAGTAAGGGCCATTTAATCAAAATGCCCATAATTTGTTTTTTTAAATCTACTAAACAAGAGATCTGGAGCATTTTTTATTGCCTCTTAACTCTCAACATTGTTACGTCTAAGCCGGCAGCTCTCAGCTAACGGCGATAACAGCGCAAACAGACGGATCACGTGAGCGCTCTTTCCTGCTGGTACGCAGGTATTCATCTTCAGACAGGTGCGTTTGAATTGTTCTATGGCTGAAGCAGGGACGTGGCTGAAACGTCTTCTGCTGCTGTAGTTTTGGGCTACATTCACCTTCATAACAACCTCTTGTAGTGCAACAGGGTCTGACAGTCACGGTCCAGGTTCTGTTCTCCTGCGGCTCCAGCGAAAAAGTCCCAGGTTCCCCATCAGTGATCTGGCGCCCAGCCTGAAGGACCTAAGGAGGAGGAGAAAGGCAAAACGTTGCTTCTGAAAAGGGAGACACTATGAGGGACAGAGACTGTTTCATAACTAGTTAAACGTTCCTCTCCTCTATGGAATTGAGTGTCAAAGTCCTTAACTTCCTGCCCGACATACGATGTGGTGCATGGTAGTACTCTGACAGACGCTTACCCCATTCCGGATTCATTCCAGTCCAGAAAGACGTCCCCGTGAGATGTTCTTCATCAAAGGTGGAAAACAAAACAGGCGACTCATCGCTGTGTGGCTTATTGTACATGAAAGTGATAACTTCCACACCTCGGATGAAGCTCAGCTCAAAGCTGCTTCTCCGAGCGCTACAGGTTAGAGGAGGCGGCTGAAGTTTGCCTGCCTAGAGGAATCTCAGGTGATGAGGACCCTAAGGAGCACCTGTTTGCATGTGTGTGTGCTCAGACATTAGCCACCACTCCGTGGACGGTACGGACATCAACATCTTCATGTTAAAGTTTAGCATTTCATTTTCATCTTGTTCCCCCACATCAGAAGCTGGAGCGCAGCCGCGCGCGTTGCGCCATGTGTCGGTAATTCCCACCGACAACTGTGTTAATGGGTGACAATAGCAGAGAGGAGAGCGCCATATGCCTGAGCCTGGGGCCGCACGGAGAATGGCAAGCCACACAAAGAAGAACAGGGATGGGGGGAGGGGTGGCGGGGGGCAATGAAGAAGGGTTAATATTGAAGCTCTAAGGGTAGGAACGAGAAAGCCTGCGTATGTAAAAATAAAAATAAGACAACGGGGCGTCTGGTGTAATACGGAGCAAAAGAGGAGCGGGGGGGAGGGGGGGTTGGAAGTGAGAGCAGAGGACAAATCGGGAGGAAAGAGGAGACTGAGGGAAGGAGAAAGGACAGAGCAAAGGACAGAGGAGAGATAGAGAATGGAGAGAAAAAAAGGATAATTTAAACAAACTTATTAAACCTTTCATTATTTCAAAATATTGTGGTTTTTAATTATAGTTATCTTCTTCTTCTCTTTAGTTTGTATGTTGATTGTAAACAGGATGATATTATCTTCATAATGGTATTGGAAATTCACATAGCTGCTTTCACAGACATTTAGTAGACTTTTTTTTCTTTGAATTGTGTGTACGTGTGTGTTTGTGTGAGTGTGGTGCGGGCCAAGAGTCTGCTTGTAAACTTCTTTCATTTAGATTATTCAGGATTTATTTGATATATTTATTATGCCATCACATATTTCCATCAACGTAGTCTGAAATACATTTAGATTACGAGAATGTTATTAAACTCAAAGCTGTCTTGCTATTTGAATTCAAGTGGTGACAAGATGGCCTCGTTCCAAATAACTTTGGATGAGAGTTTTGGTGGTGTCAGTGTGTAATGGCTTGTGATCAGAAGTGAATCTCATTTCAGTTGCCAGAGCTCCACTTGTAGTGTTTGTGAAATCTCAACTTTTCTCTCCTCCTTTCAAGTCTCTCCTTTCATCTCCCCATCTTCTCCTCTTTCAACTTCCTGTGTTGCTCTTGTCCTGCTGCATCCAATCTCGCACGGACTCACTCATCCACACACACTCAGCTTTATCTCTTCACGCACAGCTCCAAATTATAGAGTTAAGCGATCCATTAACAGGAAGACGAGAGGCAGCCAACATGTCAAATATCAGACGGGGCGGCTTGAGAGAAGAGGGGGGGACAAAAGAGAAGCGGAGGAGGGGGGGGGGGGGGGGGGGGGGGGTAGGAGGAGGGGAAGGGACACCTTATTGAAATGGAAATGGAACAGGCCAATTAAAACATCTCACTGGGAGCTTGTTTGCATCTCCAGCTCAGCTCGCACAGATTATATATACAGCACATTATGAAGTAATGAATATGTATACAATGAACTCCTCAATTATCACGCCGCCACTGGGTCTCAATTAATACACTACACTTCTCAAGTAGAATGTAAATGAATATATTGCTCGCTCGTGATTAAAAGCATTCCCCTTCATATGACATCAGACCGAGGCTGAAAACCAGTCGTGCACTGTTTATCCTACAAAATCTACTGTCGGCTTGTCAATGATAATGTAAACAAATGGATACACGTTTTTGTGTGAAAGAAAGCAATGGGAGGAGTAGTATTACATATTACATACATGTCCTACATTCAAGTCCTTAGCTATCTATGTTAAAAACTTTAAATCATTAATGCCTGGTGGTGAATATACATAAATGACCGTAACCTCTGATTTCCTTAATATTCTTTTCTACACCGGTCCTTGACAATACTGTAACCAACAACTAGTTGCTGCTGAAGCATGTGAAAGATGAAAATGATCTTCTAGTTGGAGTAGACAATGTTACACGCAGGTACCCAGATTAATCTGATTTAGTTCTAAGTCTGCCAGAGATGTGTGAGATCTGTGCTGTTTGCTATTATACAGTAAATAATACCTGTGCGCCTGTGTGCTACATCCACTGAAGATGTGATGGTGGAGGTGGCAGCACCGGTGGTACTGGACGTCTGGGGTCGGTTGGCGTCTTGCACACGTGGGGATCGATAGCTGTGCCTCGGTGGAGCCGAGAGAGAAGCTGAAAGAGCAAAGAGTGAACCTTCATTTTGAGCGTACTCGTGTTCGACCGGGCTCCGCTCCACACTGGGGTTCCTCCCGTCATTCTAACAAGCTAAACAATGCACTAGCGGGATGAGAAACACTCTTGTTGCCCGCCCCACCTCACCAACAGACTTTAGATCAGGAATCGCAGGGCAACAAGTCTCAGAGGACCTCATTTAAAAGATAAAAAAAAAGTTGACAAATGCAAGTCCTCGGTCTGCCTGCCGCTCTCCCAAGTGTTGTGTATGTGTGTCTCCACCCTTGTCCCCCACTGTCCGTTTTGCAAACTGCAAGTTTCATGACTCCAAACATGAGCTGGAAGCTTTGGGGGAGGCTGGAATATGCACGCAAGCAGCCAGAAATACTCTTGAACTCCTCCCGTCCAGGAGATTCTGCCAGGAGCTGTGCCCTCCCACAGTGTGGATCCCCTTTGGACTTTCCTCTTCATGTTGACAGAGCACAACATTTAACTACTGTATCTGGTGACCAGTTAGTGAACATGTGTAATGATATTCCCTAGTCTTAAAAAAACAACCTGTGACTTGTCAACAGAAATGTGTTTTACATTTTGTGCCATCAGTGAAAGGAGACCAAGCTCTAAAATTAAAAAACAATTAACTCTGCAATCTGGTAGCAACTGATCCCTCCTTCCTGTTGGAGCGTTTTCATTTGCCTTCACACATGTAGGCTGGTATTGATGGGATAGAGGACACGGATAGAGGACATTACACAACAAGAAAGCAGAAAAGGACAGAAGGGTGAGGCTCAGAGAAAGAAGTTGCGATTACAAATCCACTTCAGCACCATGGACAGCGAGATGGATTTATCGATACCGTAGAATTCTAACAGCCCGTTAAATGATCAATGAATGATGCAAGCTACACATTCAAGCAAACCACCCCTCATCCCCTGGACCCTCTTCACTACCAGCGGATGGAGAGGGAGGGGGGGGGGGGGGGGGGCAGGGTAACCTCATCAGCCCCTAGTCCCCCACCGGGCGTTTCTGACATGCATGTCAAGTGGGTTGGAGACTCTCATGCCTACACATCACTTATGGTCACTGGCTTATGTGCTCTGTGCTTTTCTGGTTCGAATGACACACTTAACCCCTCCGTTGCATTTTTTACCCTGAAGCAACAGCTAATTGAAAAAGGAGGGAACGGGGGCTTAGCTGCATGATATCTTGCTTCATCTTTTGTCTGAGAGTACAATGAGTTGATTCGTCCCCCGATTGGTAAATGTTGCGAGGAGCGAGATGGTGAGGTATTTAAACACGTGGATTCATCGTGATGACTCATATTTGAGACTGCCTGTGAGGACAAGCTGACATTTGGTGGTAGAGACGTATGTAACAGCATCCACGTGGAGTGAGTCCTCGAGAAAATAATGCTGCAATGAGTTTCTGCTTGTGCTGAGACCTCTGCTCTCCGTCTCCCACTCTGACAGCCTCTTAGATGAATGCTTTCTGCTTTCTGGAGCTGACTTTGTTGTTTTCCCAGGCAGCCATGTGCAACTAGGCTAATGAGTACATTTAGCTGGAAAATGCTGAGGTAACACTTTCATCACCCTCTGTGTGTGCGTTTGTTATGTGTGTGCGCAAGTGTGTGTGTCTGTTTGAGGCCATGGATGTATGTATGTATGTGTGGGTGTTTGTATCATCTGTTCATTAAGGTCACAGTCAGAGATTAAAGTTTGAGCTACAAAAAAAGCTAATTAGCGACTCATCCTGGTGCTTTCGTCACACCTTTCTGGTCACGGCCGTGTCTCCCCCATGCATTCCTCTGCCC